CAGAATCAATAGTATCACAGACTACCTAGAATTTGAGACATCTTCACAAGTTGGGGAATGACACTTGCTTCATGGTTCTTGAGGGGTAAGGGGTGGAGAAGTGGATTGACAGTGGAGGGGAAGGCTGCCGGGACAGGCAGGCACCACACAATGTGGGCTGCCTGTGGTGTGGACTTTATCCCACATTACAGTGTCAGTGGGTGGAAACCACTGTCAGTTGCATGCAGGAGGAGGTGAATAGAGAAAACACGCCCAGAGAGCTGCATGTGGGAATCCCTCTTTGTGGCCAAGAATGTTCTAGATAAACAGTCGGCTTGCAGAGGTCCTTATCACTCCTTAACATTGCCTTTAATGAAGACCTGTGCAAAAGCAGGCAGAGACAGGGTGAAAACAAAACATTAGGAGTGGATCTAGCTGTGTCTGGTCAGGACTGACGCGCAGAAGAGGATGAATTTATATATCATTCACATGTCATCAAATGTTGTTCTTTTGAGCTTTCTTAAACACTTAAAAATATAAAGGTCATTCTTAAGTTGTAAGTTGTTCAAAACCCATAGACTATGTATAGTTCTCTGGGCCCCATAGTTCTCTAATCAGCCTCTTTGCCTATGGAACCCAATTATCACGGTTCTTAGATCCTCTGAGATGATTCTATCATTCGGTCAAGATACTGCATGTCTGCACTAATGAGCCATGAACTTCCTGTTATGTTTTGAAATGGATCTGCCTTGCTGTCGCTCTCATGAATGATTGGTGGCCACAGAACTCAGGGCATCAATAGCCCATGAGACACTCAAAGGTCAAGGCCATATAAGCTATTGACCATTTGGCTCATGCACAACTCTATTCATCACATACACAGTCCAGTAAGACATAAAGGTAGCCAATGGAACAACAAACACATAAGATATATGGCTTTCCATATGGAAGAGTGAATATAGAACAAACCTGTTTTCTCTGGTACGGGGGTAGAGAATGTAGGTGGTTCACTAGAGGCCATTTTACCCAGCGTCACAGCAATACCTGTGCAAAAGAGAAGTTGAGAAACGGGATAAACATGAAGTGACTCTGGAAGAACTCTGCAGAAGACAAGTTCACCCCACACCAGGTGGCAGCAGCTTCAGAACATCTTCACAGCAGAGGCACAGAGACAAGGTGAGGGAGCTCGGAAATGATTACAGCTCTAGTGATGCCTCACAGAAAACAATCATTGATGTTCACCAGACTTAGACTGCATGGACATTTTAGGTCCAGAATCAATAGTATCACAGACTACCTAGAATTTGAGACATCTTCACGAGTTGGGGAATGACAGGTATCCATACACTTGCTTCATGGTTTTTGAGAGGGAAGGGGTGGAGAAGTGGATTGACAGTGGAGGGGAAGGCTGCCGGGACAGGCAGGCACCACACAATGTGGGCTGCTTGTGGTGTGGACTTTATCCCAATGGAACAATGAACAAGTAAGCTATACGGCTTTCCATATGTAAGAGAGGATAAGAGCAAATAAGTGTGTATATATGTTAGACTTCTACATATTTTGCTTTATTTATTTTTCTGTATTTAGTAACACATGTGTGCTGTGTGGGGGCATGCAACACTGTGTGTGTGGTAGCTAAAAGACACGCTATGTGAATTCTGGGGATCAAACTAAGGGACTTAAGCTTAAGCTTGGTAGCATGCACGTGTACTTGAAAAGGATGAGGACAGTTTTCATAAAAGATTCATTACAAAATGCAGGTACATATGGGGCATTATCGTTCCTCAACACTGCAGCATGGACTGTGAACAAAAAGAGAAACTGACATAAATATGGCAGTAAATTTTAACAGGTTTCTTCAATTGTGACAGGCCAAGAAAAATACAAAATACATCTGACTTGCAATCACAAATGATCACAAATGATTATACTTCTACTTTGCTCCTAAACAAATGAGCATATACTTTGTTATCACGCCTGCTCACATTTCCATGCTAAGCCCCACTCATTTTGTAGGGACATTGTCTCATTGCCTGAAAGAAGGATTTTGAGATCTGAGCCCAGAAGAATAGTTCAGGAAGGAAGGCAAAACCATGAACGTCTATAGCATTTTTTTCTAGTAAGCTACAAATTTCAGTGTCATGAACCTTTGTCCTGGTGACTTCAAATAGACTGTTGTATTCATGTTGTTTTGTGTTTTTTATTTACCTTCTTTCATTTTGAGTATTAAATATAATCATGGTGTGACTGGCCACATCAAAAAATTGCTCTAGGATTAAAAAATATAATCCAAATTAAAAAAGAGTAATGGGTTTATAGGTTTGGAGGCAGCTTAATAGCTGTATCACAGGGAAGGACAGTCAACCTTTCCTAAAGGCTTCAGTTAATAATAATTAGTAAAAAAAAAAAAAAAAAAAAAAAAAAGCAGAGCACATTCACATTGTAAGAGAAAGGAAGACCCAAGCCTGGAATATTGACGGTATATTCACTGAGCACGTAGACTGGGGTTGAATTACCTACATGCAAACAAGTCCAACCAAGAACTAAGGGCACTTTGGCCAATCGTCTGTGCATCTTTCGTCACTGAGTACTGAGACTGTAAATAGTGTATACAACATAGCATTGTCGATGACATTAATGAGCGTGAGCACACAGTGTTTCAACAGAATGGAGAAGCTGATCTTAAAATGCACATGGCATTAAGAGATTTAAATAGCCAAAGCAGCCTTCGAGAACACAGTCTGAAGATTCAAACTTCCTGAGTTCAAAACTCATGACAAAAAATGGAAACAAAAAGGAAAATTCCAGTGTTTAGAGTGTGGTATTGCCCTAATGATAGGCATAAAGATCATGGGATAGGGCTTAGAGTCCAGACGTCAGTTTATATCTATGACGACTGATTTTTCAAGAGAGTCTGGAGACCATTCAATGGGAAAAAGTAATATTTTCAGTAACTGGGATATTAACATGCAAAGGGATAAAATACTTTTTCTTCATGTCATAGAAGAACATTAGCTCAAAATAATTAAGATGTGCACATGTGTATGTATTTAAACTATTATATAGAATATATAAATATATTGAAACTGTGTGTGTAAAATTAAAACCATAAAACTACTCCTGAAAGAAAATGTACAAACATATTTTTATAACCTTGAATTTAAAAATGTTTCTTCAGATATGACATCACCAACAAAAAAGATAAGAAAATAGAGTTCATAAAATGCATTAGAAAGACAGTGTCAAAAGCAAAAATAAATGATCCAATATTTTAATGAAAGAAAACATTTTCAAGTCATATATGTGATAAAGGACATCTAGACTATACAGAGTTCTTACAACTATACAACATAAATATTTAAACATCTTAAATATTTAAACAAACATTTCTACCCAAAGAATTCAAAAAATGAAAATGGCCAGCAACTATGTTCAGAGATAACGGGTGTCATCATTAGTTATTACGGGAATGCAGACACCATGAAACTCAGTGCCACACGTGCTACAGTGGCTACATGGAGGTCTACCAAAGGAGGGCAGGTTGGCTTAAGATGGTTCATGTTTACGACTAGAACAAGCCATGCACATACAAGTGTTTTCCACAATCAGTAGTTTTCTATAGTGTCCTAGACATTCAACATTGTACTTTAAACAGGCTTTTGGCAGATAATGTTTCTGAGCTGTAGGCTGACATAAGTGTTCTGAACACACTTAAGAGCACACTTAAGAACACATGGAGACATAACCCCAGCGCCAGTCAAGGGTCATAGACAATTCAAAGGATGGAAATTACAAGTATGAGCAAAGATCTGTAGAAACTGGAACTTTTAAGCCCTGGTGGGAGAAAAGTAAACTGTGTAGGTCCTGTGGGGAAAGTCTGGGACCACTGAGCAAACAAAATGCACTATGACTCAATATTCTGTGAATATTGCTGTGGGTGTCCCCTCCAAAACAGTATATGAACAGTCATAGTAGCCTGATTCACAGTAGTCCAAATTTCTATCAAATGTGAGTGAACATGCACCTTTCTGTTAAATTTCTGTCAGTCAATGAATGAAGAATTAATTCATACCATCATAAAAGGAATGATATTTCATTCTCCACCATTCACAGATCTTAAACATGTCTCCTAAGAGAAGCAAGCCTCACAAAATGCTACCTGTTGTATGAATCTGTTTGTTTGAAATATGCAAAATAGGTAAATCCATACTAGCAGAAGGAAAATTAGTAGCCGCGTAGTACCATGGACGTGGGGTGGGGAGGGGCTGGTAACAGGTCTAAGATGGCCTCTTAAAGTAACAGATATTCTGAAACCAGACGGCAGTGATGAATGTACAGCACCCTGGGCAGAAGGAAACTTACGGTGGCAAAAATGGTGAACGTTTTATCAGGCACAGTTTACGCTGATTAAAAAAAGAAGAAAAAGCGACCATTTTTTTGGGCAAATAGGACATTGGTTGAGTGAAACTGCCTAGGTTTGCATCCCAACTTCTCCACTCACTGCCTTCAGCTTTCAAAACATCTTAAACTCCCACCTCTTTCATCTGCAAACGGAATACTGACTGCACAGAACATGCAGAATAAATGGAAGCAACCACACAAAAGGCTTCTAGTGGGATTGGGTCAGGATTCAGTAAGAACTCTTTACAAAGTCTCATTTTCTTGTAACAAATACACAAAATGTTTAAATATACATCACCACCGTGTTTAGCCAAAAACAATAGAAGCCAATCCTCTTGGGAGATGGTTTCCGTGGAGCAGGATGCATGCTTTGGGAGCCTTGAATTCAAAGTGCCAAGAGGTTCGTAACAGCACTGAGCATGTTTGATTGCTACCTGAGTGGAGACTGCTTGGTGATATTGACCAAGTGAGTTCCTAAAAGTCCAAGGTCAAAGGCTAATGTTACTCAAAGCAGGTCTCACTTGCAACCTGGACTGGAAGGAACACAGCTAAGCAAAGCTCCTTTTACTTATATCCACACACACTACCAAACACTAAATTTTTCTTCCCTTAGTTGTGTGGGTTTTGGTTTTCTGTATCCTGTCAAGTTCATTGTTTAAATTGACCAGTGCCTTTATTCTATACGCCTTAGAGGAAGCGCAGGCCAGCTGTTGAACTTGAGCCTGATCTAAAACATCTCCAAACATGTTTAAGGAAGAGATGAGGGTTAGAATTCTCTTCCCAGACCTTTGTCTGAGGGCAGCATGGGTCAAGGAAACTGAGGGGAAGCTAGGCAGTACTTCGGGGTGGGGGCATTCACAGCTCTGGGTTAGGCATTGTCTAGAACACCACCTCACTCTGGAGATATGGCAGAAGTCTTCAAGCAGTAGAGTAGTCAGAGGTTTTATTTACACCACTTCTCTGACACTCTTAGTCACAGGATGTGTGGCACTTAGGAGCTTGGGAATGAAGGAACATTCCTCACAGTCAGTCGGAACAAACCCCTTGAAAACCCAAGGTGAGAAGCTGCTACCAAGGCTTGTCTCACACATTCTCTTGGCTTCTTGCATGTTTCCCTACTGCGTTCTTTGAGAGTCAGCTTCAGCATGCCCCTCTAAGCAGGTTTTAACAACCACAACTCAGTGAGCAGTGTCATGTGACTTCCTCCATTTTCTTCTGCAAGCACCGCTTGATGACACAGCCTTCCTAAGAAGCAAAGATTGTGTTTGTTCATGTTGATTTTCTAAACCTTTTAAATGTTTCTTCTGTTTGTGGTGTGATTGATTCTCTTGGCAGAAAAATTTCTGCTTAATAAAAAGCACAGAGGGAAAAATTCAGGAGCCTGCTCCCAAAGGTAACTGCTAGACTTTTTTTTTTTTTAACATTAGTTTGTTGATCCCAGAAGACATTGCATACCTTACTGGAGATTCATATAAAACACCAATGGCTACAAGCACTGTGACAGAACACAGAACCTACCTGGTCCTGGCAGGGATGATGAAGTCAGGAGAGGAGTGGTTGATGCTGCAGTTGAAGGTGTCAGCAGAGGGGATGATGCTGCAGTTGAAGGTATCAGCAGAGGGGATGA